CAGAAAACCAAAGTGATGATCATCGATAGAATCAGAAACAACCAAGCAGAGATAAGAAACATGGCAGGTTACGAAGTGGTCAGGCAATTTAATTACTTAGGCTCCGTTATTACTAACAGTGGAGGATGCGAAGACGAGATCCGTCGACGCATCACAATGGCCAGATCGGCAACAGCCAAACTCACAAAAATTTGGAAGAACACTGACATCACAAAAAACACAAAATTACGCCTTGTTCGAGCATTGATATTTCCTATCGCCACCTATGCTTCAGAAACTTGGACAATAAAAAAGCCGATTCAAAGCGTATAATGGCATTTGAAATGTGGGTCTACCGTAGAATGTTGCGCATACCATGGACCGCCCATCGCACAAATAACTCAATTCTAGCAGAACTTAACATAAAAACTAGACTTATTACAACTATCAACCAAAATATATTAAGATATTTTGGACATATAACTAGAAGAAGGGAATAAACATCAATGGCCGCTACCTCAGAAATCTACGATTTGCAGATGACATAATCCCTTTAGCTACTGACCTACAAGAAATGCAAACCATGCTTTTAGAACTACATACCGAATCTTCTAAAATAGGACTGAAAATAAATTTAAACAAAACAAAAGTCATGTACTCCGAAGACACCGTGACAATAATAAACGATGAAGTTATAGAAAAAGTTGAAGAATATAATATATACTTAGGACAAAAAATAATACTAAATAGGGAAATTCAAACTGAAGAAATAAAAGAAGAAGAAAGTTAGCTTGGGCAGCATTCGGTAAACTGAACTATATACTCAGAAATCAACAAATTCAATTACATCTTAGATCTAAAGTTTTTGATGCATGCATTATTCCGATATTAACTTATGCGGCACAAACATGGACAATCACAAAAAAGAATATGAATATACTTAGAGTCACTTAACACGCGATGGAAAGAGCAATGCTAGGTATATCACTTAAGGACAAGAAACAAACACATGGATAAGACAGAAACCAAAGTCACCGATGTGGTGCAAAAATCATTAAAGTTGAAATGGGAATACGCTGGACATGTAGCTAGGAGCGATCTAAACAAATGGCACAGATCAATTTTAACCTGGAGACCATACCAATACAAAAGACCCAGAGGCAGACCTCCTATGAGATGGACAGATGATCTGAAAAGGACTGCCGGGAAAAATTGGCTACAAGTAGCGTACAATAAAAAACAATGGAAAGGAAGACTTGAAGAGGCTTATGTTCAGAAGTGGACGTAAATGGCTAGATGCAGAAGAAGAAAAAGAAGAACTAGAAGCAGAGAAGGCATGGAGCGAATGATAGTTGAAGGAAACGTAGCGCGTAAAAGATCCAGAGGAAGGTCTCCAGTAAAGGTCGGACCAAATAAAGGATATGACTGGTTACTCATTCTCCGAAGCAAAACAACACGCACAAGACAGAGATAATTGGACAGAAATAGTCAAACAAATTACATGACGCCACTACATCCACACGAAGAAGAAAATATAGAGGAGGAGGAGGTATGCGGTAAAGGCGCGAGCGTAAGACCTCGAAATAGTTTTATAGGAATTGCTTTTGGTCAATATATCGCTCATTTTTAACATTTCGACAAATTGTCAAGAATTTAAATTGTTCTAACTATGATTTCAAACAAAATTTCTTCTTTTTAGATTTTTCTCGTGTGGCCGATATTTTTCCGAATGAAGGATACAAAAGTGATTCAGTATAGTTATTAAATCATCTCGTTTATTATTAGTTTTACGACATAAACATAGATAAACAAAAATTAAAGAAACTAGATTTTATATAATTTTGATTTCTTTGTTTTTTTTGTGCTACAATCAACAGATCCTACGCCTATGACAAGCCTAATGAGACACAAACGAATAATGAACCCTAGGCGATGACGTCATCAGTAGTACCACATAAACAATAAGGAGCCTATCTCGTGAACACAAGGTTCAGTTTGTCGATCGATGCTGTTCGGAGTAGACGCATTGTAATCAAAATGGAGCAGTTTTTTGTATGTGGAGAAGTTAAAACTGAATTTTTTTATTAACTCCATTAAGTACAACAATCTGCCCATTGGGCATTAAGCATTTGGTATGGTAAAAAATGCAGACATGTAGAGAGTTACTCCAGTGAGTAACCTCTTTACAATTCTAAAAATTAAAATTTTATTAGTTTGAATACACTTATTATGTTCAGTTGGACAAGTCGGACGGCAATTGCCGTTTTAGTCTACGCACTTCAAAGACGTTCCGCACATTTAGTTGTCGAGCAAACGCATTAGGATGCACTAGCACTCGTTCACAGTATTTAGCACTAAAACGTTGTATGGCTTCTTTCACGGATTCTAGGGGATGTCGTGTTGAATCACCTCGTTGGATACATAGTATGGCGCATTGACTATGGCACGCAGCACCTTGTTTTGGAATCTCTGTAAGATGTTTGTATTGGAGACGCTAGCAGTGCCCCATAGCTGAATCCCATAAGTCCATATGGGCTTGAGGATGGACTTGTAGAGTAAAATTTTGTTATCCAAAGATAGTTTTGAATTGCGTCCAATGACCCAATACATATTTCTCAATTTAAGTCCAAGCTGTTTTATTTGTTAAAATATGTTTTTTCCAAGTTAGACGGCGATCCAAGTGCATGCCAAGATATTTAGCGTCCTCGGATTGAGGAATTAGACAATTATCAATATATACAGGGGGCATGTTTCTCTACGTAGCGTGAATGTAACATGTATTGACTATTGGTTATAGTAAAAAATTAAAGGTATTATTAATGTATAACATATAATTCTCTATATTTTTGTTTACCTACATTTATGTCGTAAAGTTAATATTAAACGAGATGATTCAATAATTACAATTAGTTGCTATTAAGTCCTTAAGTGGAAAATAGCTGAGATATTGAACAAAACCAATTCCTATAAACACAAAAAAGGAAACAAAAAGCAATGTATTAACTACAGGGGAATAACACTCCTAAACACCACCTACAAAATCCTTGCAAACATCCTGCTAGAAAGAACCAAAACATACACAGAAGAAATCGTTGGAGATTATCAATGCGGATTTAGACCGGGCCGCTCTACAATTGACCAGATATTCACAATAAAACAGATAATGGAAAAATGCTGGGAGTTATGATCGTGAGCTTCATCAGATGTTCATAGATTTTAAACAAGCATTTGATAGAGTATGTAGGGACAGACTGTGGACAGCGATGCAGGAACTTGGCTTTCCAAAAAAACTAGTCCGGTTGATACGGATGTGTATGGAACGGTTACGATGTAAGGTGAGAGTTGGACAACAATACTCGGAGACATTTGAAATAAACAATGGACTAAAACAGGTAGATGCACTTTCACCACAACTCTTCAACTTAGCTCTGGAGCACATAATCAGAATGCAAGAATCGAAAACCGAATACAGTATTTCATCGAGAAGGACCAAACTTACTACTGGCATTTGCAGACGATATAGATCTAATAGGAAACACGCGATTAAGGATGAAGGAGACTTTCGTAAGGTTTGAGAAGGAAGCAGAGAAGATGGGGCTCCAAATCAACGAAAACAAGACGAAATATATGTATATGAGCCGCAATAACCAAAGCAGAGACAGAATCGGTCAGAACATTACCATCGATGACTTTAACTTTGAGCGCGTTAGAGAATTCAAGTATCTTGGAACAACAATAACTGAAGACAATAACGGATCACAAGAAATAAACAACAGGATTCAGGCCGGCAACAGATGTATTTTTGCCCTCCAAAACCTTATAAAATCAAAACAACTAACACGACGTACGAAGATACAGGTCTATAAAACAATCATACGACCCGTTGTGATGTATGGAAGCGAAACGTGGACGATAACAAAGGCAAATGAAGAGAGACTACGTGTTTGGGAAAGAAAAATCCTAAGGAAGATCTTTGGTCCGGTGCTTGATGAAGCATCAGGACAATATAGGATAAGAACTAATAAAGAGCTTGAAGAACTTTACCCAGACGCCAACATCATAAAAGAAATAAAGTCCAGAAGACTCCAATGGGCAGGACACCTCAGAAGACATTCTGACGAACGAACAGTAAGACTGGTGTGGGAGGAAGTCCCAACTGGAAGGAGACCACGCGGACGCCCTCGTCTCCGGTGGCGAGATAATATAGCAGGAGACCTAAGCACTATGGGCGTGGAGAATTGGATGGAGGTTGCTCAAGACAGAAAACAGTGGAGGCATGTTGTCGAGTCGGCTAAAACCCACGAAGGGTTGTAACGCCACGGAGTAAGTAAGTAAGTAATTCCTATAAACCAATTCCCGCAAAGCCTTAGGTACGCTTGCGCCTTTACCGAATACTTACAAACCTAAACATTAATTTTACCAACAGAACAGAAAATCATCTCAAAATTGGATACAATATAATTCTTCTCTTTTTTGTTTGATTACATTCATGTAGTAAAGTTATCAATAAAAGGGATAATTCAATAATTATGCTTTGTCAATATTTTCTCACTTAACTCGGAAAATATGGAACGCACGAAAAACTTTGTACAAATTAAATTTGTGCAAATTAAATTGTAGTAAATCCAGTAAATTCAGTAGCGATTTTAAATTTACACTACAATCGACCCCCCCCCCTCAAAGGCTAGAACAACAAAATTTGCGGTAGCTCGCCATGCAAGGTTAAATAACATCCCAATTTATCCCTGCTGTGATTTCACAGAAATATTTCATTAAATTTTCAAAGCATGCATTACAACATCCATTATTTCTGGATATCGTGTTGACATATATCTTATATAAAACTGAATAACTATGCATATAATAATTTCCTATGTTAAAGAGAACAGTAAAAAGAAAAAAAATCTTCTATGATTGTAAACTTAATTGATTAATTACGTATAAAAGTTAAAATCATCTCTCTCTCACGTCTTTAGAAGATATATAAGTATATATAGAATCATATATTTTTTTTCTTGCAGACATATGAAGATATAGTAAATGAAACTAAAAACCAATCCAGAGGACGCAGTCGAAGCAGACGTAGTGAGTATCTGAAGAGATCTCAATCCCTACATTCTGCCAATTCTCAGGCTCATTCTGAATGGTCGTCACTTCATCGATCTCCAAGTGGAATGTCGTATACAACTGATTCACAGGTTTGTGTTCGTTGACCTATACATTTAAGAAAGTGTTCTTTCTTATCTTTTATGTTTGTTATATGTACAATTGATATTTTTATTGTTTTAGAGTTTACCTGGAAGTCGCGAAGCGAGCCCTGTACCATATGTTGAAGACATGCCTTATAAAAAATATAGACCTGTGAGTAGAAACCGAACATCGCAACCTGAGATAAGACTTACCCGGAGCATTATGGATCTTAGAAAACCCGAACTTTATAGAAGACCTAGCCAAGTCGACTTGGGATACTATAGGGTGTTTATTTTACTTGTATATACTTAGATAGAGAATGTGTGTACCAATAAATATGAAACTGGCCAGATGTTAGGACCGTTTGGCTAATATTTATTTGAAATAACTAAAAGTTTGGCAGATTTTCCCCCTATTTGGCTTGTATATAGATGCAAATGATCCTATAAACTGATATACTAATATAGAATAAATCAGGATAAAAAGTATCTTTATCTATCTATCTATCAACAGTTTATTATAACTTCTGGTGTTACTGCGTTAAGAACTGAACTTTTTCTCTTTATATCGCTATTCGTTTTCTCTTTATAGAATTTATCAGATTTCAAACATCATACAAGGAGGTTGATTTGGTTATATTTTTAGCTAGATCCCATCCGCAATCAAATAATATACTCAAATGTGCTTGTGACCCATAAAAAATATATCTAAAATTTAACATGTGCACATTGACATTTAACATTGACTTATATATCCTTGGCTTTTGCGTTAATCAGAGGCTTTATATTTGGACCTAGTGTTATACTTAACATGTGACTAATTTTTAAAATCTTTGCAAAAATTCGTTTCCTAGTTCACCACATTAAGTTTTTTTAGTTCAATTTAACATTATTTTAGCTGTTCATCTTTAAGTATATTAAAGCATTTTTGGTTCATTTACAGATGGAAAACATGCATCCAAGTCACCTTCGACCAGAGCCTTTTCCACATCACTTCGAGAGAGAAAATGGAGAACTCAATCAAAATGGTTATGATCCTTTCCAAAGCTCGGGAATGGAGGTCGTCAAACTGCTTCGTGTAAGTAAAGTGTAGATATTTCTCACAAATTTATAGGTTAAGTTAAATAAAGTAAGGTTATATTCGTAATAAGTTAGTAAGTGCCACAATATAGTCGCATTCCCCCAGTGCGGCAGAGGAAACTGATGCAAAGCATTCTCTGCATTTTGTTCTAATTTGCCAGGTTCATCGATTATGTGACCTAAATGACCAGTCACGTGGTCGATAAACCCGCAATGTGATGCAGGAACTGCTTTGTGTCACTTTTTCTATCACACTGGGGAACACGACCGTATAGCAGCAATCAGTCTATTTGTATTATATGTCTATGAGTTGGATTAGGTTACAATTTTTAGATCTTTAATAGATGTCTCAGAACTCTGCGTTGTAATTGGTCCTTTTCTACTAAAATAAAACACTATAACCTCAAATTCAAACAATATAATAGATATTTATATATTAATATTCTTGTTTAGGAGGCAGAACAATATAAATATACAGCTGACGAACTACAAGCCGCCCTTATCCATTGTAAAGACACCAATCCCATCGAATGGCTAAAGGAGCACTGGGAACCAACTATATCCAGTGTCCAAACTCTAGCCACGCAAATGGGTCGTGAAGGACCCATCAACATAGTTGGTACTGTATCCAAAGTTGAAGCCAGAGATGCTTTGAGAAAGCACAAGGGAAGCATGTGGCCGGCTGTAGAGGAATGTGTGGAACAACGACAGAAAAAGGTAAGAGATGATTTTATATGAGTCATAATAAACGTTAAAACCAATACCTTTATTTTTCTTATTTAATTAAAAGGTAAACTGCATCTATTACCATAGATCAATATAAACAGGTCAATATAACCATACAGAGGAAACTAAGGCAAGACTTTCTCCTCTTTTGCTCAATAAATATTTTTGTAAACAACTTGAGGTGCTCAGACGATACAGTTATAATAGGTGAAAGTAATAAAGACTTGCAATGAGTAATAACTGTTATAACGTGGAAAACCATCTATCTTGATCCTGAGGTTGCACATACGAGCACATAGAGCATTTAAGATCAGCCGTTCAAAGAATAAAAAACTCCCACTACTAAACTCCGCCTTATCATTGTATGTTCGATATGGATTCGTAAAAAGTTATAGTTATTCCATAATATTCTATGTAGTCGAAAGATGTACTCTAGGAGAAAAGAAAATATAATGATCCGAAGTCTTCGAAGTGTAGGTATTTAGAAGAATGAACAGAACCTAGAACCCAGAATGAGATACAATTTCTGAATTAAGGAAGATATTGCTCAATGGACTAGTTACATTAAACAACTATTTTAAGATGAAGAACTGAACTGACATTAGAAAGCACAGAGGATATCGTACCACCAATATTACGGCTGATAATAATATATGCCAACATACACAAGATACGGCATATAATATTCTCGCTTCCGCTTTATAATGATATGCAAAGTAGGGAATGAGTACGCCAGGTATCTGATTCAATAGCCACTCTAGGATGATAATAGCATGAACCCTCTTTCAAAACTAATATGACTTCGCTATTGGGGATGTACAAACGGCTGACGGAATAATAGCAATCTCAGAAATGGTAGTGATCGTCATCGTCATATTGACACATGCACTCTGGCTTTTTGGTGACAGAGTTACCTTTGGAAAGCTGACGAGACCTTGTAGTTTAACGCAGACGGTCACTACACTAGTTCTGGAGTTGATTGAAAAGGTATAAACGGCTGCAGGGACAATGGTAACTACAAACGCGCAAATCTGAAAATAACATCATTTCAGACAGCATCTCTCTTCCTTGATTCGACTACATTGGCTACATCTCAACAGTCTTCAAGTGTGATTCACTACTACACACACATACACACACATACATGCACACACACACCAACAGAACTACCAGGGTAATACTTTTGGATACTGGTCTTGCTTTTGTACAACAAATCTACATTCATCTCCAACCCTGAAGAGAATGAAGAGACCTAAACAGGGACATGTCATATTCCCCAAACCCAAACAATAAAATTTACCCTACCCTTTTCCTAATGTGAACACGCATACTTAATAGCATAAATTATGTTTTTCAGACGATACAGTAATAATGACATGACCACAGTGATTTATAGAATGGATTCCATCGCCTTAATATTGACTGCCATGAATACAGACTTAAGATCAACTTGAAGAACTAAGTTTATGGTCATGACTAAATCAGCAAATGCAAACGTCCAATTGACTATTGAAGATACTGTAATTAAGAGTGTGAATACCCACAAATACTTGAAAACGTGGATAACATCAAATATAGGCCAAACCAAAGAAATTAAGACACGCATTGAACCAGCACGTATATCAATAATTTATCTTAAACACACTTACTTTATTATTGTCCATCCGGGTTAGGTGTCCGAACCATGCCAATTTTTTCTCCTTGATTGAGTCGAGTATCGGTTTGATTTTGTCTTTCTCTTATTTCTGCATTTCTGATTCTATCAGTTCTTTTTACTGCGATCGTTCTTCTGAGGTATTTAAATTCTGCTGCCCGAATTCTGCTCTGATGTCTTTTATTTAATATCCAATTTTCTGCTCCATATGTCACTGTAAGTCTATATATTGTTTTGTATACTGTCATCTTGATCTTTGTTGATATTTCTTTGTTATGAAGGAATCCTCTATTCGGTGCTTGGAATAGTTTTTCTGTGTTTTCCATTTTGTTGTTAAGATCGTCCTCGATGTATCCTTTGTTGATTACTATTTCTAAGTATTTGTATGAATTTGTCTGTATTATTTTTTGTTAGTCTGTCATTACTTTTATTTGATCTTCCTTCCCTTGTTTCCTTGATATTTTCATTATCTGAGTCTTCTTTTTGTTTACGTTTAAGTTGTATTTGCTTACTTCTCGGTTCCATTTCTCTAAATTGTATTTCAGTTTTTCTGCTCTTTTCGCAATTAATACTATGTCGTCTGCAAATATACACATCTCAGCGTTTATCACTTGCATTCTGTTCCAACCGATGCAGTATTTCGTGAATGTTTTTTACACTCTTTCACTATCTCATCTATTACATTTGTGAATAGCATTGGGCTGAGACTTCCCCTTGTCTAACTCATTGAGTTGTTTCAAATGTTGCTGACTGTATATTTAACATTCTTACTGTATTTGTTGTTTTCATCTCTCTTTGTTGTTTCTATCAGTTCTTCACTTACTTGTTTCTTCTTTAAGCTTTCCCATATATCTTTTCTTTTGACTGAGTCGAATGATTTTTTCATGTCTATAAAGCTCAGATATATTCAATTTAAAAATTTTTGGGATAAAGGTTAGAACTACGCTTAAGGATGCTTCGGTCTTACGTATTCTCTACTTTATCTTGTAGCATGGAGGCTTGAACACCAAAACAAGTACGTATAAATAAATTGGCCACCTTTGAATTTTAGTGTTACTACAGATATCACGGATTTAAAGGGTATCAAGTGTAGAAGTAACTGGATAAATAGAAAAATATTGACCATCAAAAACGAAAATTGAAGAACTTAGGACACGAGATGAAAGACAAAGGAAACTCATTCTGCAAGGAAAAATTCTAGAAAAACGAAATTCGGAAAGGCGAACAATATTCTGGCTTAAATAATTGAGAGAATAGTTATACTGCTGTAGTGCTTCTTCTTTTGGTGCTATATCCAATTAGTGGATGTTGGCAACAATTCTGGCATACTCCTCTCGATCTTGTGTGGCTCTAAAGAGTGCATGAGCATCAAGGTTTGTCCAATCCCTTATGTTTTTAAGCCATGAGTATTTCTTTCTTCAGATGACCCGTTTTCCTTCCATCTTCCCTTCAATAACAAACTTTAAGTACTGGCACTTCGAATTTTGAAATATATGTCCCAGATAAGCAGTTTTTTTTCTTTTTATTATTGGCAGCAGTTCTCGTTCTCTGCTTCTATCTAATTAGCCTTCTTCGGTCCATCTTTGGACATAGGCCTCCCCAATCCTTTTCCATTCTTCTCTGTCTGTCGCTACAGTCATCCATCTAGAGCCCACGTGCTTCTTGATATCATCTGCCCATCTCATTTGGGGCCTTCCTCTGCTTCGTTTATATTCCCACGGTCTCCAACTTATAAGAATTTTGTTCCATCGGTCTTCTTTTTGTCTTATATTGTGTCCGGCAAATCTCCATTTCAATTTTGCAACTTCTTGTCTAACATCCCTCACTTTTGTTTTCTCTCTTATCCACTCGTTTCTCTTCTTATCCATTAGTCTTATGTGCAACATTTGTCTTTCCATTGCTCTTTGGGTTTTTATGATTTTGTCCATGTTTGCTTTTGTAAATGTCCACGTTTGGGAGCCATACGTAAGAACAGGGAGTACGCATTGATTATATACTTTGGTCTTAAGATGCTGTGGATATCTTTTGTTTTTAAGAATGTAGCTTAGTTTGCCAAATGCCGCCCATGCCAGTCTAACTCGTCTCTTGATCTCTGCTGTTTGGTTCTCTTTGTTAAGTTTTATAGTTTGACCAAGATATATATAATCCTTAACTTGTTCTATTTCATCTTGTCCGATTCTCATTGTGATGTCTTCATCTGTATTTGTTATAGTTTTGGTCTTGCTGTAATTCATATTAAGGCCTATCTTTCCAGCTTCTACGTCCAGTTCTCTGCTTATTCGATTTAATACTTCGACATTTGTTGTGTTATCTGTCCAGGGAATTTTAAGTAGTCTTCTAAATATCCACATTTCAAAGGCATCCAATCGGTTCATCACATTGGCCTTTATGGTCAATGTTTCTAAACCATATAGCAGTATGGAGTAAATGTAAGATTTTAGCTGTAGTGCAGATCTATTTAAAGTGGCAGACAGCAAGATTGACATAGTTATGATGATTTGCAAACTTCGATAGAAAATAGAACTTGAAGAAGAAGAAAAAAACATTTATCTGGAAGAGAAATATAATCTACTACGGATCTACTAGTCCCAAAAGAAAAAAACGCTAACGGCAAAAAAATGTACGAGATTAGATAGAGGATACACATTTATTGCTAAGAATGTAACGACAGTATTTTGCCTACCACAGGGGCATTAATACGGGAGATAGAAAATTGGGGGAAAAACTATTGGGGGTGGAGATAGGGCAAGCAAAATAATCGCTACTGATGCGAACGGCACTCAGGGTTTCGTAGGAGAGCTGGGGTCGTGGATAAGTAAAAGATAAGGGCATTGGAATGGGGCAACTACAAAAAAATGAAATAAAGGGCTCTTGGGATAAACAAAATAAAAATAAACAAGAAACACCTCAAGGAATTTAATATAGGGCGCCACTTGAGGTGCCTAATTATACCTATTACAACCACTGGTTGTAACTAGGGAAATAATTAGAAAACAAATCAAAACATAAAAAACATATCTTTTTCAAATAAGAATCAAAAAAGGTTTGGCTCAAAAAAATAAATAAAAAGTTAAGACAACAAAATTTAACCTTTATTTATGTGTCACCACAAACAGTTACATGGAGAAAAAACAAAACACAAAAACTTAGATGTGTCATCCGCTTACAAACTCTGTTGCTACAAAACTTACAAAATTGCATGGAGGTTAACCTTTTTTTTTTAAACAAAACAAAGTAAAATCAAAAAATAATAAAACGAGCTGTCATAAATTAACATTAAATTTCAAAAAAACTAAACACATAAATTGACAGCTCAACTCAAAACCAAAAATTTACAATTTTAAATGTAACGAAAGCAATTATTATTTCATAAAAAAAATTGTCTGTCTTTAGTTTAAAATTTGAACACAAAAAAAACAGTTACCTTGATTTACATATTTCCACTTCACAAAAAGAACTTGTTATATCTCTGTAGCATCCATCCGGAGATCAGCAGCAAACACATCCATTTGGGGCCGAAACAGGAACAGGACATCCATTGGGGGCCGGAACACACCAGGGAAAACGGGAACTCTCAAAAAAAACATGAACCCTCCAACAGGAACCAGACTTTTCAAAAATCTCGAAATATCGAGCGAAAACTTCACTACTCCCGGCAAATTAATGCCGGTCACTTCATACTGGACAAAATCCATCACTACTGCTACCCATTTCCACCACAATCAACGAAAAAACAGAAAATTTTACAAACTCGACATGAATTTGGACATAACGCTGAACCGCTCTTGCTCGCGGTTCCAACGAGAGTGAAGAAATTCTATTAAAATTGAACGCATACATACAAACGCTGACATAACAAGACACCACGAAACGACGTACATATCCTTTTGCGACGCATAAACATGAAAAGAGATTGCCGAAGTAAAATAAACAACTCTCAAATGGTTTTATTACTCGGCGACGAAACACTTTTGGGTACTTTGAAAGATACGAACTAACAACACGGAAAAATTCTTCGTTTCATTTTTTAAAAATATATAAGGAGTTTTTAATATATTTTTTTATACGAGGAGGTTTCAATATACTCAAAAGAATCAATGAAATTGAAAATGCTACAAGAAGAAGACACGATAGCAGTTTGCTGTAATTATGGCCAATCTTCAATAATAGAGAAGGATTAGTTTTCAACCTTATTAGGATAAAAAATATCATTATCGGATATAATATAAATGTAAAAGGAATATTTGAAATTTGTTACCAATCATTTTCTAATCCCTACAATTATTTCTTTCCAGTATGCTGATTTGGCTTCCCGAGGAGACTATAATAGAGAAGATATCATAACAGTGTTAACGGCAAATCACGGTGACTTGGAAGCTGCATACAGTGAGCTCAGTAAAATGCAACTGAAACCTTTTCTAATGAGGATTTGGGGCCCGCCGGTGGGTATTGAGAATGAGGCAGGTAATGAGGGGGTCAGCGTTAGTGCTTTTGACGGGGAAGGTGAGTGTTATTAATAATAATTGGTTATGAAACGTTTCTGTCAAAGATAAAAACATTATAAATGATATTGGGGTGTATTCTGTAACATTTCCGTTAAATTTAAGAGGCCTCTAAAATTTAACTTTTAACGGTCCTCTTAAAGTTTTAGGTAACATTGACATTCTATAAAGAAATATTATAGAGGACCGCTAAAATATATATTTTTTAGAGGAATCCTTTAGAAGGTTTTCAATTAGATACGGCAACGTCGTACATTGATCGTGTTTAAACTACTTGTAAGGTAGAAATTGACCAAAAACTAAGTGTCGGAGGCCAAAAACTTGCCAACTACGACTCATGCTTGGTTGACTTTAAAGCAAAATTGTATCCTTGTCCAGAGGATAATCTTCCAGTAGCATAAAAGTTTGAAGTTGCTAAAATCTTAGTTCTTTAGGAGTTGCAGATATTCTTTGCCCTTCTTGTATTTATGGACTAATTATATCAATTATGATCCTTGCAACATCTTTATTAAACCTAAAAAGTTTTCTAAGTGTTAAAGTGGGTAGCTGGAAACGATTGCTCATATCTCGGATTATCCTTCGATGTAATCTGAATTTAGCTCTATAAAAAGAATAAATAAGGTGTAATACATGGATTATAAAGTAAACTGAGACTTACCTTTCATTAGTATTTATTATTTCATCAACTAAAGCTTCGCCAAATATATCATGATAAGCCATTTGTCTTTTTTAATTGTTTATCTGCACTATAATATTATAAATAACAAACTAATAATCATATAAATCTAACCAAACAAAAATAATCAAATGATATTTAACGGACTACTATAAATAATTTTGATATCCTCCAAAATATTCTGTTTTAGCGGGAGTTTTAACGGTTTAGGTCATTGGGTTTAGGTTATCATTTTAAAGGATGCATAAGTTACAGAATACAAACAATAACAATTATGGCCGTAAATTGATTACTCAACTGGCTAAAAACAATTAGGGGAGAGTGGGGCAAAATGGTCTCTGTAAATTTTTTTAGGCTAAAAATAACAAAAAACGAAATAACTTACACTTTAATCAAATTGTGATCACAAATTATGTGTAAGAATGCACTTAAAAACTTCTTCTTCTTCTTCTTGCGACTAGGATTACTCCTGTTTGTCTGCATCTTATTCTGTTTCAGTCGTTGTTGACTGTACATTATCTTTCCACCTTTTTGGCGGCCTTCCAACGGGTCTTCTGCTATACGGTTTGTTGTTTTTACAGATGTTCGCTAATCTATCTGGTCCCATTCGGTTTACATGTTCGTTCCAGTTTTTTTTTCTTGTTTTTATCCACCTGTTAATATTTTAAATTTTGCATTGTTCGCGTATACTTCTGTTGGTTTGTCTGTCTCTTAATGATATGCCCGCTATTGATCTTAATACTTTCATTTCGATATTGTTGATTTGTTGTTTCGTCTTTCTTGTATCGGTCCTTGTCTCCGCTGCATATGTTAGATTGGTCTTACTGTTGTCTTGTATACTTTCATTTTGCTTTCCGTGGTCAGATATTTGTTTCTCCATATGGTTTCTCGGAGGCAACCACTTACTCTTGCCGCTTTTGATGCTTGCCTTGTGGTCTCTGTTCTTATATCCCTGTCACTAGTGATCTCTACTCCTAGGTAATTGAATTTCATTACTTGTTCTACAATTTTGCCGTCTATTTCTAGTTTGCATCTACGCGGCTCTTTACTGATCACTATACATTTAGTTTTTTCTACTGATATTCTCATATTAAGTTTGTTTGCTGTGATATTGAAGGTGTGGAGCTGCCTTTGTAGGTCATCTTCGTTATCAGCAATTAGTACTGCATCATCGGCATAGCATAGTATCGTGATTTTATGCGCTCCCATGTGGTATCCGTGTCGTTTTCTTACTTCGTGAATTATTTGATTCATCACCATATTGAATAACAATGGGCTGAGCGAGTCTCCTTGGCGGATTCCTCCTTTTAGTTTTATGCATTATGTTTCTCCTGTTGGCATTGTAACTATGGTCTTGTTGTTCTTGTTCATTTCATTCTTATTATCTGATGGTCTATTTGTTTAGCTTGTAATAAATTTAAGATGTTTAAAAGAAACAAAAAACAGTATTTTAAAAAGCTTTAAAGGGACCGTTTAAAACCAAGAAACACCCTTCTGCTTACAGCTTTTCTAGCCGTTTTGAGGTTGGTTTTGGTGTTTTTTGTTTTTGTTTCATCAAAAGATCATTTGTTGTGGAACTGAAAACAGTTGATCCTTGCAAAGGTCTTTAATTCCTGGGCTGAGGAAGCACTTGAGGTAGTAGAGATATATCATATGGCGTATTCCCCAACCATGATGGAATAACTTTCGTTTTAACGCCACCTTTCTGTTCTAAAGGGGCTGTAATGTCAAATTTATGATTTGAACCAACATTTTATATTTCCAATCAAAGTTTAGATTTCCGATTAATTCTCTCGGACTGTTTCCAAAACAGCCGATATCATCGGAAGATCGTCCACTTACTTCTCATTCCCGTAACTCGTCTGATGAAGATATATTACGAATTTCTCTATTTGTTATCGGTAAAGTACTTGGAAGCGAAGACGTACAACCAACTTTTAAAAGGTTTCAGATTAGTTTTCCACTATAGGTAGATCAGTTGTACACTATGATCTAAATTTTCAATCCGGGAGCATGCTTGGATTAAAAGGACAATTTTTGTTATCCCGAATCCACTGAGTTCTTAAGTGTGGGAGCTCTTCGATAAGATCTTCCAAAATAAACTATATAGGGATCCTTCTATGGAAGCAAAATCAAGACCCTAAGATAGAAGACTGATTGTTGAAAAATCTAAAGATTGGGGAGGACGCGAAAACTATAGTCTATACAGTTGACGAGGTCTCGTATAAACCATTGAGGGCTGCTCATTTCAAGGCATATTATAAACTTAAAAAGTTATCCTTTAAAACAATCAGGGCTGCCTGTCAGATAATTCTCGGATCAGCGTACCCCTTCTGTGGTGATCTCGAACAACCACCATCAAGGGAGTTGGAACACCTAGTGAGAGATTGCAGAAAAAATTGACTGCAATTAATTATTGGCTATAATGCGAATGCGTACCATCTGACCTGGGGCAGTACAAACACCAAAATAAATTGTAATTAAAAATTTAACAATATAATATAATAAAAATAAATATTTTATTCTGGAAAAGACAGTTTGCAAATCAAAGGCGTCGAAATTTTATTAATCGTGAATGAATAAGTTAAATAGCTTCGTTCATATTTCTTCCCCACTTCCCCCTAACTCCATCTTCGATGCTACAGTTTTAAGGCGAAGGCCACGGTGGTCTATATGCTCTCTTTGTAAAATTCCCTACTCTAATGCGTCTATATTCTTTGCTATTATACTTCGTAGCTTCGTATATAGGTAGCGCTAGTAGTACTAAATATAATAAAGAAAGCTAATTAGCAATTTTATGAAAAGTATGAGAAATAGCTTAAGGAACTATTTTACCCAAGGATCATTTTACTCGACTTACCCCTATACATTCTTTTTCACTCAACTTTTGTAGTGTTTTTATTTTAACTTAAGTCTTAACTTTCTTTTGATGGATAGTTTAAAAAATAATTTCTATTGTTTTAGAGGCATCTATTGATGATAGTTTTTTAAGATCAGAATCAAAAGCGGTAAGTACCCCCACTTCAATAGTTAGTCAAAACTCTTCAGAAAACTTGTTTTTACCAATATCTCCACTACCAGAAGATACAGAGAAAATAAACAGAGATCAAGAAGCTGATGATAACAGGGAGGCATTGGATAATTTGGAGTTAGAGATTTTAAAAAATTTGGAAGATATCAAATTGTTGAGTTTGAATCTAATTAATGAAAACGAAGCTGTTGTCAGTAATACAATAAAATATGATGAAATTAAAGACAAAGAAAAAGATAGAATAATATTTCCAAAAGTCGAAAAATTTCACAGCAATCTGCAATCAAAAAACGATGCAGCGGAAAAAGATTCTTCTACTGGCATTGTAAATATAGAGTCTAGTCAGCAGCAAATGACAATCCCATCTACTAATATTAATACAGAGAATATCAATATAGATAATACTTTAAAAACAAATTTTAATGACAACATTCACCAACACAATCTTCAAAACTATTTAGAAGAGAATGAACCTTTTATAGAAAGTCATACAAGCAAACCAGATTCAGTAAAACCTGTTGAAGCAATAGAATCTAATATACATCTTCCAGGCACTTCAGCTACTGCTATAAATCAAAATAATGAATTTGTTGAACCTGTAACGTCTGTCAAAGAAACTGAGATCAAAAAAGACGTTACAAACATCTCAGTTGCTGCCACGGCACATGCCAACGAATTTGTTCATCCTACAGCACTCCCTGAAGATAAAACTGATAATTCAGTAGCCAGTTATGAAGAAACTAAACCAAAAAATAAGTTTTATATAGAAAAAAGTAGCACTGTGATCCATATAGATGATTATCCCAGTACATCACACATTTCTAACATTACTTCTGATGACGATAGTCATCATGAATTTGAAGATGCTCTGGATACCACTCTAGAAGCTGTAGTGCCTTCAATGACTATCAAAAAAGACGAAATAGGTAATAAAGAACCCTCAATAGTAGAACTGTCAACTAAGGAAGTTAACAAGAAACCAGAAATTGAATTTCTACCTACTGAGAATACCGAGAGTATTGCTAAAGACTCTTTAACATCAATAAAACCAGTAAAAATAGAGACAGAAGCAGATATTTCAGTTATTGATAATAGTACGAATATAACAGCCCTTCCAGTAAAAGAGGAAAGTAAAAACTTAAAAAGAAAGACTAGTATATCAACTATAAATATATTTTTTGGCGAAAGAAATGCTGATGGCTCTGCTGCGACTGATTTAAGCACATCTGGTAACAAAAATGTATTAGATGACGAAGAAAACACAATTGTTGAAAGTCAGGCCTCAATTATGTTAAAACCTGTGGCTAAGAATGAAATCAACAAACCAAATGTAGCTATACAGGAGCCACAAAGAGCTACTTTTGACGAAAACCAAAACAATAACAACAAATGCAAAGAAGAACAGGTTCAAGAGGTATCAAAGCAACACATTATATCAAAAAATGAACAACCATTAGAAGAAAACGACAGAAAAAATGTAGAACAAATAAAAATAGAGACTGAGATAGTTCAGAATAGAGATATAACTAATAATCAAGGTGATATTGGACATTCAGCAAATAGTAATGTTGAAATAGTCAATTCTGAGGAACAAAATGAGGAAAAAGACAAAGGATGTGACTTAATTCATGAAAATGATGTTGAAGTCACACCTCATAATGCAAGTAATATCGAACAAAACGTATCTAAGTGTGAGCCTATTACTTCTGTAGATGTTGCGTCTGAAGATCAAATAACAGAAACTCAAATTTCTACTTCTAGTATAACTGAGATTACACAGGCCAACTATGATGAAAATAACTCTCAACAGATAGGTATTAATCAAGAAAACCTGTCAATATCTGAATCTAAAGATTCAAATAACGATGCACCTGGAAGTTCAATAAAATACAAAGAAGAAGCAAGTAGTAAACAAGATTTCGGTATAGATAAAGTTGTAGCAAATATAACTGAACCTAATATTGAAAAGAATGTGTTCAACAAGAAGGGTGAAGATGCACTAGACAGTTCAACAAATCACAAAGAAGAAGGAAATAATCAACTAGATTTAGGTGTAGATACAGTGATAGTAAATATAACTGAACCTAATATTCAAATAAATGTGTCAAATAAGAAAGAAGAAGACGCACCTGGCATTTCAACAAAGCCCAAAGAAGAAGCAAATAATCAACTAGATTTGGGTATAGATAAAGTTGGAGCAAATATAACTGAACCTAATATTCAAAGAAATATGTCCAAACAAAAGAAAAAAAGTCGAGAAATAAAAACAAACAGCACCGGTAAAGCGCAGGAAAATAATTTACAAATAACTAAAAGTAAAACTCAGAAAACATTGGCTAAAGAAGCTTCAGAGGGAAAGGTTGATAATCAACAAGTAGTTAAAGAATCTATTGAACTGGAATCTAAAAACAATAACATTCTAAATAATATACAGATTCCAGACAAAAATTTAGTAGCAGAAAATCTTAATAAAGAGATTTTAAAAACAGAAAGCAATTATAATAGTACCAATGAAGTATCTCCCAAAGATTCTAGTTTAATTTGTACTAATAAAGATAATACTGCAAGAGAAGTATCTCAAAAAAAGAATGAAGTTAGAGCTAAAACAGAATATAGAAAAAATGTTAACTATGATTCTGATGAAGAATCTAGTAACTACCAAAACAGTTTATCCAGGAATACAACATTCAAAATCACCAGGAGAAGACCTGTCAAGAAAAGAAATAAAAACGAAAGATCTTCTAGTCAGAAAATCAAGTCAAAGGCAAAACCTCTTGAAATGCAAGATAGTAGAAGTGAGGTCTTAGGTAGCAACGTCATGGATAATAAAGAATATACAAATAAAAATAAAGAAGAGTCCACTACAATAGTAGAAGCAAAACAAGGAACCTCAAAAGATGAAGTAGAACATAAAGAAGTGATTGGTCAATCTAATAAAGTAGAGCCTAAAGTTACAACTCAAGTTCAAATGTCACAAAATCCCCAAACAATTCCCGTAGCAAAGAAACCCTCAAAGATCCCCCTCTTAAAACAACGTTGCGTGTCTTTAACAAATGCGCTACTTTCGCCATCGCCAAGTCCAAGTAAAATCCCTATAAAGAACAAATTTTTCTTCAATAAGTCTCCTTCTGTAACACCAGACCGCGAAAGTAAAAAAGATGTAAAGGAAGCAGTTAGCATACCATCAACACCAAGTTCAAGAGACACCAGCCCTATGATAGCCATCCCAGATCAACTGGACAGACTTGATCCTAAAAACAAATTAAAAATGCTATCGACAAATAAAGGATCTTTTGAATCTACCACTAGTTCCAAACAACTCTCTTATACGAAATCGTTGGACAATGATAGCGAGTCTTCTGTATCTGACAGTAATATTGAAGAATTGCTGGAAGACGATGACAGCTATGACGAGGTACAAGAGTACGGACCTGTAGATTCTGAAGAATCTGATGACTTCGACAGAATAAACTCGAATATTGAAAGACTTAATCTTAACCTGAATAGAGACAACACTGTGATCGATATGAGCAAGAAAAAGGATTTGAGAAACTATAGTATAGAGGAAACCTGTGAATCAGAGGAATATTCTGATTACGTAGAAGAGGAAGAAGTAGAAGTGAGTGAGTACGAGGACGACGAAGGTGTGGATGATGATGAAGAAGACGAGGAAGAGGAGCATAAGCATAAACCGGTAACGGATATGGAGGTAAGAAATATAGCGTAACGGTTTTTCAATCATGTATCGTATTATTCATCAATATTTTCTTTCTTTAGAGCTTTTTTACGATAACCTACACATCATATCATCAATTGTTCTTTTTTTTGGTAGGTAATTGTAAGATTAGATTGTTCAATGAATTTTTCATACAAATTAACTTTTTCTAATAATATTTCCGAATTTGATCTCCCAATGATCTAGATTTTTATATCTTACAATTTTTTCATCTAGTGTTTCACACTGGTTTTTTTTCCTTTATATTTATTTTATGTTTTAATTAGCACAAACTTGTAACCGTTTTTATTTTACATCTAAACGCAGAAAGTTTCAGTTTTGTTTATATATTGCCTATACCTAACCAATTTTTTGACTCCATTTATTTTATTCTTGGAGCTTTATAACTTTTCATTATCTCGTTCATCATTCAACATAAAAACTATTTTAGGCGAGCGGCTACCCCTAAAAAAACGCTTAGAAGCGGAATATATCGACTAATTTTTTTTGCATTTCTAATACACCAAACCGTTTTTTACTCGATACTTAATATTTTTCTAAGTTCATTTTTTTTATTAAACTCTTGGACAAAATTAACGCACCACTTTAATTAATCTAAATATTTACAATATGAACACAAAATAAAACTAAGTTACATTCAAATAATAATAAACACCTACAATAAGTCCAACATGACTTTATCATGACCTTAGTTTGCCTTATTGTTTCTTTAAAAATTTGTTTTTGCCGGAAATGCGTAAATAAGCTAGAATAACTCCAAATTACAAAAAAAAAATCAGTAAATTAACAATAAAATGCTGGGTCAACACTAATACCGTGTAGGCCCTCCTTTACTTCTTATGACTGCATTTATGCGTCGAGGCATATTTGATATCAAACGTTCAACAAAAGCTTGCGGAATATTCTCCCATTCTTCAATAACGGCCTCAATGAGTTGGTTGTGATTGTCAATACGGGGTCTATGACTTCGAATTTTTTTTTGAGATAGTCCTATAGATGCTCTATAGGATTCACGTTCGGACTGTTAGGTGGGCACTCTAATAATGGAATATCAACAACATTTAGGTAGCCATAACCTGTCGAGCCACATGAGGAGGAGCGTTGTTAACAAGTAAAAATGGGCATTCATAGACCTCGTACGTATGGGCACCAACTCCGTACGAGCTTCAAAACAAATTCCCTCCAAAACATTTTAGAGCCACCACCAAAAGGTACTTTCTCAAAAAACGTCTCAAAAAACGATCATCAATTTGATTAGTGCAACGTTTTCGTCCTTACCCTAGTCTTCAATGGTACGATCCTGTTTCATTATATCGCCTCACCTTGCGAGTGATGCTGGAATAATGTCTTCCTAACAAACCTGCAACGTATCGCATTGAATATCCTTTATCTAGGAGAATCGACGCTCGCACTGCCTCCTCCATTGAAAAATTTCTTTGGCGGTTCATTATTTTATTTGATTTTTATGAAAATGAACAAAAAACATGCATGTGATGCAAAATATCACAATAAAAAACTTGTTTCTCACAAGCACTTTGCTTTAATCGGCACTTTTTATGAAGTTTAACTCACTTTTAGTCTAAACCAAAGTTTAATACAAATTATTGTTAAAAAAAGACTATTATTAGCTTACATAACAACTGTCACTGTCAAACAAGGTCCATAGGCCACTTGTAGAGTAAATTATCAATCAATAAAGATTATTGAGAAAAATATGAGTAGGGCGTTAATTTTGTCTAGGAGTTTATTATTTTTGCAAGTGGTCGGAAATTATTATTATCTAATAAATAACTTATAAAAAACAATTTCACCGAATCGCTTCGGAATCATGTTTTAGGTGTATCCCATGGAAGTAAAGACTTTATCTCCCTGGGTTATTCTTCTAAAAATGATTTCTTTTCGAGTTATTTGCTTTTTTTGTTAAAAAAAAATGCCGATATTAGTGATTTTTAGGATTAAACAAATGTACTGAATGAATTGTAAACCTATAAAAATGTTAATAATCTTTAACCTTCAAGTACAAGTAAGACTATTTTGACAAGAATAAATGGTTTCCATCTCGCTAACAACATGGACCAAATATTTCAAATGTGCCTTTCGAGCATTTTACCGTTAAGTGCGTGCAGCGGTTGTGAAGAACCAAGGGGCACTGCACAAATCACCTACCTCTAGATGCTTCACGACAATACTTTATTAAGATAAGGTATGAAATTCAGCGCTCCAAGAGATTTGTATCGGAACTAAAATATCTAAATATAATTTGGTATATTTGAAAAAAAAATTGCATTTTAAATTTTAGAAGGTGCAAATTATATTTAAATCCAAATATACACAACACCATTTACGAAAAAATAAAACAATATAATTTATTTATTTATTTAATACATGTCAAACAACTTTGTATATTAATTTAGAATACAATAGAAATATGCTTTATTACCACTGAAAATTGTACAATTTTATATACTACAATAGGGTATTTCAAATAATTGAAGCATGTGTGTAGATTGTGCATCTCTACTTGTTGAAGAATTTTCAACTAAAACAAAAAGTTGATATAATAATTTATACCATGATTCACTTCAAGTAAAATAATTTTTATTAATTACAATGTAATGTCATATCAGGTTTACTTACTTTATATTACATTTGCTTCTGCGCACAACATTGAAATACTTCTGGGATGTAGATTAGAAGAAGAATCCGAAATCAATCAGTTATATTTGTTCTCGAAAATTGCATTTTGGTACAAGCTATGACTCTATGTAGAAGCAAAACTAATCTTCATATTCGTTTTGTTTTAAAAACTGTAGTGAAATTCATCATATCTAAATTAGGATTTTTTATCAACACTAAGCTACAGGTTACTGCTAACAATAACGCAAAGATATTAAACCAAGTTTAGTTTGATTTCTTTGCAATACTAACCATCAAATCAAACAATTTAGACGAATAATAACCATCTGAAATCTGATTATATAGACGCTAATCAATTATTATTACTGATACTGACAGTTTGACAAGCGATTGACAATTATAATTTTTAGTTTGGTACTAAACCTAAATTGCAGAGTATAGACTATATGAGGAGTATAGCGACATCAAAAGATTTGTATCGGTACTACAAATTACATTAGTTTAGTTTGACCTTGAGCTACCTACGTGAAACGTCTATACGTTATAGTTATTAGTGGTCTGTGGGGCACTGCGCCAATGACCGCTACCATCCAGTAAATTGTACCACGTGGATTCCACACAGGACTATCGCTTGATCATTCTGGACTGAATTGCGACGTATAGACTATAAAATTATAAAAAACACTATGTAAAAATCAATATTTTCAGTCTGATTTATAATTTAGTCTGATTTAAATTATTGTTGTTGTTACTAAAGTCTTTTGTAAGTCAAAAATAAAAGTTTTAATTGTGAATTCAGTTTTTAAAAAAGTGCTCCTCTCAAGAACATTCATAATTCGCGTGAAAATCTTCTTTTTTTTTAAATATAGAACAATAATTCAATACAAATATTACTTACAATTTATTTGGAAAAAAGGATATTTCTTATTATTTTTAAAAGACGTATTATAATTGTATTAAAACAATTGAAATTAATTTTTTGCAATGCCCCATTAATGTAAATTTTCTTTTCAATATACAGTCCCTGACCAAAACTATAATGACTGCGTATGAATTTTTACAAAAATCAGCTATTTCACTATTTTTTGTGTAGAAATTTATTTATTTATTTACGAATTAATCGCGAATAGTGAATCGTTCTGAAGAGCTGCTATTTCGTAACACTGCCCGTGACGCCTTTTCGTGGCGCTAGTTCCGTGATGCTCACCTCAGAATTTTACTACAGAGAAAAAATTAATACAATGCCAGTATAGAAGCTTCTTGCAAAATACAAAAGGTATGGTGATCTCTAAGAAGGAACAGCAAATTAAAATAACCAGGATGAATGGTCAATCAAGAGAAAGAGTAAAAACATACACCTACCTTGGTACGAACGTCAATGAAAATTGGGACCATTCCCTAAAAATAAAATGTGTGATAGAGAAAACAAAATCTGCATGTCAAAAAATGGCTAAGCTATTCAAATGCCATGATTTATCAGTACCCATAAAAATCAGGTTACTACGATGTTATATTTTTTCTATACCGTTGCACAGAGTTGAGTCGTGGACTCTCACAGATGCTACCTGCAAGAAAATTGAGGCTTTTGAAATGTGGCTTTATCGTCGAATCCTGAAAATATCCTATACCGACCACGTTACTAAGCAGAACGTTTTATTAAGAACGCAAAAAAGAAGAGTTGTTAACTTCAATAAAACCAGCCAAAACCAAATACATCGGTAACATCATGAGGAACAGCGAAAGAGATGGGCTGCTGCAATTAATTCTACAAGGAAAAGTAGAAGGAAAAAGAGGACCAGGAAGGATATAACCATAGATCTTTTCAGAGGGGCCGTTTGCAAAATATAGATTGCCATGATGGTCGCCAACATCCGAAACGGATAGGCACTACAAGAAGAAGATAGAAGCTTCGCTTCGAAAAAATAATTTATATGTGTACATATTTGTATAACTGTAAACGATATAACTTCCCCAGAAGTAATATCTTCGTCATAAAAGTCCTATGCCAGCTTTGCTGCATCTGTATGGGAATGCTTGTTTATTTTTGATGACGGCTTCTCTTTATTCTCATATTGATTATCAAAATTAGTGTTAGAATTTGCTTTGGAATTGTCCATAAAACCACTAACATTATTAAAGAAGCATTTTCAGAATTCGACAAAGAAGTATCGTCAACGTCATTATTAGCATCGGTAAATATATCAACGACGTTTATGCAGTTATCAACACTGATTTCACTACTAGACAAATTTTGTGAAATACCTAAATAACAAGGAGATGTATGGTAACGAACGCCTATTTCAGACAAATCATGAGGTAAAACAGTTTACCTAAAAGAGGCATATTTCATTGTGGAAGCATTAAAAAGTCGTTGCTTAACATCATTATTTAAACTTACTTTTGGTAGCTTTTTAATACTATTCTTTTTCCTCTACTATAAATAAAGCACTAATTTTCCCAATAAAAACTTGCAACTTTGGATCTAAGATTTTTTTATTTCAATTGTGATTTCAATAGCGATTGTTCAATTTGTTGGTATATCTGGTGTGCCCACACACCATACTGCGCCGCAGTATTTGTTCGGTTCTCGACCATGTCAAATCAAACAATCATTTTAGCGTCTCTTACTCTGTGTATAACTAAGCGTAAAAAGAAACCTAAAATAAAACGTAGATTCTGGTGCAAAGAATCCAAGATTTTGGTGCAAAATAAATCTCGTCTGCCCCTGCACCCGATTTACTGGACTGCAATGCTAATTTTAATTCTCTTTTATAGGATGTTCTAAAATTGTTAATTTTTTTTCTTACATACTCTTCATTCGCATCTTTGTTTACTTCTTGGAACTTTAAAACTAGAATGTCCATTGCCTGTTTTCGGGCGTTTCTATCGTGATACGTTTTACGTTTTATTCGCTATAAGCATTCTTGTTTTTTATATAATTAAAAAAACTCTCTTAAAAAATTCTCGCTAAATCAAGCCATGTCGATTTTCTATAATATGATCAAAGCAAGTGTGTAGTTAAAAATGTATTTTTGCAGTATCGACAAATTCTAAACGCTCTCACACGCTTAACAAATTGATGAGATCAACTCTGCAGTACTGCAGCAGACAGACCAGTCTGTCTGCGGTCAAATTGTACGATTTCATTGGATGCACGGTCACACACGATCAAAATCCTTGTCAATTCGTTGAACTCGACGAAGTTGAACAACGCCGCTGTATCGTGAGTGGCCGGCTTTAGGCAAGCCCCCCTTAGCAGTCAGATAGATGTTTTGAGCTGTGTTGCCAATCTCATTCCTCTAGATGTTTCTCAAATAAGGTGTTAACCATAAAATATTTACAGGAAAGAAAGGAAATAACTACAAACCATTAAGTTTATTTTTGTGATTAGTCTGTTGTAGTAGATTGGAAAATACAATGAAAAATATAGGCAAATATCCGATTTATTTAAAGATACGAAGAAGATATACCTCTCAAAAAGATCCGCAAATCGGAGTATTACACGGCGATTGGCAACATTGACTTTGGGCGGCATTATAGACTATGGTGCGTCCTAAAAGGAGACAGATAGTTGAACGATATTTTATACAATGTCTATCACCGGGTATTGATTTATTTTTGTCCAAGTTTTGTATTGGTCCACTATTTCAAATGCAGTTCAAACAGACATATATTAAATTGTATGATCCGTTTTAAATTCGTTCAATCTGTATATCCTATTAAAAAGTCGAAAAATTCTAGCGCCTGTAGCGCCGCAACCGCTGTACACGCTTACCGTAGACTGCTCGAAAGGCATATTCGAAATATTTGGGTTCATATTTACAGCAAGATAGAAACTATTTATTCTTGTCAAAATATTCTTACTTATAGTTGAAGGTTTAAAGATCACAAAACTTTTATATAATTGCAATTAATTTAGTAGTTTTTAGAAAAAAAAAATCATAAAAACACTAATTACTTAAGACATTTTTTCAACAAAATATTGCAAATAACTCGAAAATGAAACATTTTTTGAAAAATAACAGAAAGAAAAGTGTTTATTTCGATCAGATAGGTCTCCGCTTCCGAATCGATTTAGTGAAATAATTTTTTTTTAATTGTTTGTTGATAACAATTGCTGGACTACTTGGAAAATTGAAAAAATACATTTGAACGTTGAAAAAATATATAGAACCGAATAAAAAAGGTTTACTGCATTAGAAATGCAGAAAATGTTTAGTCGGTTTACGCTCTGCTCATAAGGGTAAACCGTTCATCTATTTCTTGTTATTAACAATTACCCATTGAACGTTTTATAGCGGCACGCGCGACAACTTCTCGCTGAAGGAAAAGTCGATAATTATGAACAAGCTGAAATTGCAGCCAGTCTACTACTGCTAAAATTTTCGACTGAAGAAGCTCTTGAAGCTGTAAAAGACTGTAATTCCGTAGACGCCGCTATAGCTTTTCTGCAACAGGACTGCGAGCTTTGTGCGGGGAAATATCCCATGAAAGAGGTAAGATATTGTTTCTATAGTTGTAAATTTTTTGGTTAAAGTAATAGAATTTTTATTTATTTATTATTTAAAATCAAAACAGTGACACAAAAAAGTTGATATATTTTTATTAATTATTATCTAAAAGTTGTCAAGGTTTCAATAAATTTTTGAATTATAGGGGAGACCGGGGGAATGATGGCCCCCTTAGATTTATCTAAAGTATTTTTGTAATTATTTCGATATTTTATTCCAAAATAAGAAAGTAAATGAAAGAGGTCGTTTTGTAGTTTCATTTTTATTGTATTTTCATATTTATTCGAAAACAAGGAAAAAATATTTTACAGATTTTACAACAAAAAAGTTATGTGGTTATTGTTACCTCAAAAGTTTGAGATAATTGTACCTAGAAGATGTTAATTCTTCTTCTTCTTTCAGTGCCTATTCGTTCCGAATATTGGCAATCATTCTGGCTATAATTATTTTATTGACTGATGCTTTAAATAGATTCGTTGTTGTTGTGGAGAACCATTTCCTCAGGTTCTTCAACCTTGATATTCTCCTTCTCCCAATTCCTCGCTTTCCGAATACTTTACCCTGTAGGATTACCTTCAGTAATCTGTATTTAGTGCTGTTTCTCATTATATGTCCGAGATATTCCAACTTTCTCCTTTTAATGGTATACATCACCTCTCTTTCTTTGCCCACTCTTCGTAATACGGTCTCGTTGGTTATCTTGTCTGTCCATGATATCCTTAGAATTCGCCTGTATAGCCACATCTCGAAGGCTTCAAGTTTTTTCTCCATTGCTACAGTTAGTGTCCAGGATTCAACTCCGTAATACAATATTGAGAAGATATAACATCGTAGGAGCCTTACTTTTATCTCCAGATTAAGATTGTAGCTTTTAAAGAGTTTGGCCATGTTATTGAATGCACTCCTAGCCTTCTCTATTCTACATTTTATTTCCTGTGAGTGATCCCATTGTTCATTTACTATTGTTCCAAGATAGTTATACTTCATTTACTTTGTTTATTAGTTGCTGTAAACTGTTCAAACTGTCTGCAAAAATAACGGTGTCGTCTGCATAACGGATGTTGTTTAGGCGTTCTCCATTTAGAAGTATTCCATGTTCGCATTTTTCCAAGGCTTCACTAAATATTTCCTCTGAATATAGATTAAATAATATAGGTGAAAGTATACAACCTTGTCTAACGCCTCGTAGAATCTGGATCATTTCCGTTGGTTCACCTCCAAAATTCGTTCTTATTGTGGCTGATTGGTTCCAGTATAAATTTTGTATTATACGCCGATCTTTATCATCCATTTGGGCTTTTGTTAGAATATCCATCATTTTTTGGTGTTGAACTGTATCTAATGCTTTTTGGTAGTCCACAAAGCAGGTGTAAATATCGCAAGTCATATCTCTGCATCTTTGAAATAATACTTGTAGACTAAACAGTGCATCTCTTGTACCTACGCCTTTCATGAATCCAAACTGTGTGTCTTGTATTCTCTCTTCGCATAGCTTGTATATTCTACGATGTATAATTTTAAGAAAAAGTTTTAATGTATGGCTCATTAGACTTATTAGCCTATATTCTCCGCACTTTTTTGCTCCCTGTTTCTTTGGTAAGGTAATAAATTCTGAAAGTAGCCAATCTTTTGGGATATTGCCTGTGTCATAGATATTATTGAAGATTTTACATAGTACTCTTAAAGATTCATCATCAAGAAGTTTAAGAAATTCAGATTGTATTCCGTCTGGTCCTGGAGCTCTACCTTCTTTTAGTGATATTATGGCTGCTCTTATTTCTGCCACTAGTATAGGCGGTCCTGTTTCCGTAGGTATTGGGGGCTGGTTCTCTCTCATCAAAAAATAAATTTCTTATGTAATTTTTCCAGGTATCATTGATACTCTCTTTGTCCACGATTATCTCTCCATTGTCATTAACAAGTTTACTTATTCTTCTGTTTTTACATTTACCTGTAATTTCTCTTACCTTCTTATGCACGTTGAAGTCGTCGTATTTACTTTGGAGAATTTCGATTTCTTGGCATTTTTTCTCCAGTTCTTTCTGTTTGGCTTCTCTGATCTTTCTCTGTATCTCTCGCTGTAATGTTTTATACATGAAGTTATCGTTTTTGTTTTTCCTTCTTTCTTCCATTAGTTGCAGAATCTCTGTCGTCATCCATGTTTTATTCTTACCTTCTTCGTTCTTCATAAAATTGTCTTTAATGTCGTCTATTGTTTTCTTAAGGGATTCTATCTTATCTTCTGTGCTTTCCGTTGTATTATCGATTTCTTTAAATTTTCTATTTAATGTTTTGCTGACTATTTCTTTTACTTCGCTACATTTCAGTTTTCTCATGTCATGTTTTTTTACAGTTTTTCTGCGTATTTTCTTTAACTTAGTTCTATACACACCCACTAAAGGATTGTGGTCAGATTGAATATCAGCGCCTGGGTAGGTTTTAACACTGTTGAAAATATTTTCGATATCTTTTGTTAACAAGCATATAGTCTATTTGATTTCTTATAATAACGTCTTCTCCGTTGTCTCTAGGTGATTTCCACGTATACAGGCGTCTAGGCGGTAGTTTGTAAAATGTGTTTAGCACGATTAAGTCATGCTCAGCTGCAAAGATACTCATTGTTTCTCCGCGTTGATTTCTCTCTCATAATCCATGTGGACCAATATGTTGCCCTTCTTTTCCGTTACCTATTTTTGCATTGAAATCTCCCATGATTATAAGGAGTTCGTGTCTCGGTATATCTCTTATAAGGTTGCTTATTTGTTTGTAGAATTCTGATATTTCTTCATCACTATGGTCTGCTGTGGGTGCATAGACTTGTATGATGTTTGTGTTCACCGGTGACGTATTTATTTGTAACAGGAGGATTCTATCGTTCACTGGTATGAAGTTGTTGACTTGTTTGGCTATACTTTTATGCGTGATAATTCCAACCCCATTCTCATATTTACCATTTTCTGATCCTGAATAGTATACTCTATAGTCTTCTATATCACAATAACTTGAGTCAGGCCACCTCATTTCACTTATGCCCATTATTTCTATTTTCATGCGTTCCATTTCTTTAATTGCGCATTGGATTTTTCCTGATTGAGCCATCGTCCTAACGTTCCAAGTGGATATCCTTTTCAGACAATTCGTGTGGACTTTTCTTAAAGGTGTTTTATTGGGTAGTTCACAGGGATTTTGCATATTAACGACCTGAGAGGCCCTGTGGTCATGGGAATGACCTCTCTTGCCGGATCTTGGTCTACGATGTCCATGATCAGTATGCGAATTTTTATTGAGTTGTACAGCCATTATAATTGTACTAGAGATATCCATAGGGATCTTTAGTATAGTGGTTTCTCGTTGCCTTCTATATTCTTATGCCGTTGACCAAACCATTGATTCTTCCGCCTTTGGGGCCGGTTTCTCAGCCCCAGGACAAAAGAGTGCCCTACCACCTACCAACTCGTCCGCCCGGAGCCGTTGGTCGGTAAGTGGGGGACTGCTTATACCGGCAATCACTCGGTCCCTATCTGCGTTAGCCATCAAAATTGATGTTGCCCGTCCTCTACCGCGTGGAGGTGCAGATTCGGATTTTTCCTTCATCGAGATTAGACCTTTCGGCATTTCCTAATCTCTCCAGAGCTTTAGAAGACACAAAAAAGTTGATATATTTTTATTAATTATTATCTGAAAGCTGTCAAGGTTTCAATAAATTTTTGAATTATAGGGGAGACCGGGGGAATGATGGCCCCCTTAGATTTATCCAAAGTATTTTTGTAATTATTTCAATATTTTATTCCAAAATAAGAAAGTAAATGAAAGAGGTCGTTTTGTAGTTTCATTTTATTGTATTTTCATATTTATTCGAAAACAAGGAAAAAATATTTTACAGATTTTACAACAAAAAAGTTATGTGGTTATTATTACCTCAAAAGTTTGAGATAATTGTACCTAGAAGATGTTAATTAATGCGAGACTAGTATAACATAGATAAGAAACAAATCATTGGCAAAACTCGCAACTAAGTAAAAAAGAAAGTAGATGAAGGTGTAAGGCAACAGTTAATACGCATTTATGACTATTTGGTCGTCATCAATACAGTGTAGCCAAGATAGAAAAGCAGCAAGTTAACTTAGGAAACGATCTACAGGAGCTATGCGACCAATTGTGGCAGTGGAAAGTTTTCGAAACTTATGGATATGATCCAGGGTACTGGATCTTCTTCTTCTTAGAGTGCCGTCTCCCTACGGAGGTTGGCAATCATAATGGCTATTCTTATTTTAGAACTTGCTGCTCTAAACAAATCAATCGATCTGCATTGGTACCAATCACGTAGATTCTTTAACCATGAGTTCTGCCTTCGGCCAACAGATCTTCTTCCTTGAATCTTTCCCTGTATTATCAGTCTCAAAATTTCATATTTTGTTCCCCTCATCACGTGGCCTAGGTATTCCAGTTTTCTGGTTTGTATAGTGGTGATTAGTTCTGTTTCTTTACCAACCCTCTAAAGTACTTCTTTATTTGTAATTCTATCAGTCCATGATATTTTCAATACTCTGCGGTATAACCAGAGTTCGAAGGCCTCGATTCTTTTTAAATTACATTTTTTTAATGTCCAAGTCTCAGCTCCATATAATAATATTGAAAATATATAACAGCGAATGGTACGTAGTCTGATCTCCAAATTTAGATTTTTGCACGTTAGGAGTGGCTTCATTCGTATAAATGCTGATCTGGCAATCTCTATTCGTCTGTTTATTTCTACAGTATGATCATTGGTTTCATTGATCAAAGTTCCCAAATACTGATATTTTTCTACTTGTTCTATCACGTTACCATTTATTGTCAATAGGTGATGTACTGGATCTTGATCTTAGTAAATTCGTAGATATGCCTGCTAAGATTTTTCAGGTTTTTTGCCAGCGTATTTAAGTAGTTCCACTGTTATGTCATCTTTTCTTTCTGAAGGACTTCTGGTACATCTTCTTGGTTACTGATTGCTCTTTCAAGTGTTTGAGGGGCTTTATATAATTCATTATTTCATTTCTATCTAAACCTAATTCTGGTGTTTTGGTTTATTAGAGAAAAGATTCGCTCCTAAAAACACCGGCCTAAGAAAGCTTCATTATCGCTGTTTTTTTAATCGTTTCTATAGGGAACATAAAGCGTCGTGGAATGTTAAATGCTCTGGATACGTCCTAACACTCCTGCCGTTTCTGACGGCCTTTATGGCTGCATTTAATTGTTCACCATTCCAAGCCGCTTCTTCTTCAGATTATTAGCATGTGAAATACCATTAGGTACTTCAATGAGGACATCCTTTATAATGTTTGAAATAAAGATTTTTAAAATTTCAAATGTTTCACTTTTTTTTTAGATAATTTCTATGTTAAAATGCACCCACAGATGTTGCCAAGATTGTGCGAAAAATTATTTCACAGTCCAAATCACCGATAGAAGTATTATGGATTGCAGCTGTCCTTTTTGTAAGCAACCAGACTTAACCAGTTCAGAAACAAACGAAGATGAAGTGACTGAGTACTTTGGAAATCTGGATATTCTATTAAAAGGGATTTTGGATGTCCCGGTGCATGAACTTTTTCAAAGGAAGCTGAGGGATAGAACTTTGATGCAAGATCCACATTTCAAGTGGTGTATAAAGGTAAGTATATTAGTTTTTTTTTGTAGTAGCGTATAAGATTATAAAACAGTATCTGGAATACTGAAATAGTTTACTTTAATATGTGATATTCAATAAATATACTACTTTTTGATTCCACTTCTTTTTTGGTCAGCCCCGTGAAAGACTTGTAAGGAAGGTATTCTTAGTTTAGCTAATCTAATCTAACCTATCGTATACTACTACACTTTCGAATATACTATACCTATCTTACCTATCATAAGAGGACCATATCTTAATCTAACATAACCTATATTAAATATGCTCATAGACATATAATACAAATAGACAGCGTTGCAATACAGCGTCGTTGCCCCAGTGAGACAGAAAACTGACGTAAGGTAGTTTCCGCATCTCTTTCCACGTGGTCACGTGGTCGATAAACCCAGCCCATTATAAAAGATGCAGGTACTGCTTTGCGACAGTTTTTTCTGTCGCACTGGGGGAACGGTAATGTATTGTCTATTTGTATTATATTTCTAGGCATAAAACTGGTGCGACCGTATTGAAGATACTTTTATCGTTGTTAGACCTTTTTATTTGTTTGTAATGTATTTTGCTCCCCGTAACCACTAACTCAAAACTAATGTGTTTGTATTTTTTTGTCCTTTCAGTGTTCTTCGGGGTTCATTGCTCATCCTCGTCAGAAACGACTGATTTGTCCAGACTGTAAGTCAGTTACGTGTGCGAGTTGTAGAAGACCGGTATGTACAAAGAATAACGACAATATCCTACTAACAAATCATAACAAGTGCATACCTACCTCTAACCCATCGAGTTAGAATTCTAACTAGATTCTCTAACATTTTTAGTTAGAAAAAGTATAGTGCTAAATAGATAACAGTTGTCCAAAACTATACTTTAAATAAATTATCTCATATATAACATGTCATTTATAATAGATCGTCAATTCATTTTTTATTTGACACATGTCATATGCCATTAACCATAGATCATATAAATTGTGATTGTATCGACGATATAATATACTAAGGATGGAACATGTTGATATTTTTGCATGAAAAGAATTTTTTTCGTACACCACTGACATCTCGGAGACTAGAGTCAGCCATTGTGATCAACTACTTTTTACGCAAATGTTTATTCATAGGCCATCTTTTGTGTATTACATCTTTAGATTGTACAGTTACATTATTTATGGTTTGTTTTCTTTTAGTGGGAAAAACAGCATGAGGGGATCACATGCGAGAAATTCGCGGAATGGAAAGACGCCAATGACCCCGAGAACCAAGCCTCTGGCGTTACGAAACATCTCGCTGAAAACGGAATAGACTGTCCTAAATGTAAATTCAGATATTCGCTATCAAAAGGTGGTTGTATGCATTTTACTTGCACTCAGTGCAAGCATGAGTTTTGCTATGGTTGCGGCAAAACCATTTATGATGGGAGCTAAGTGTACTATCAGCCAGTATTGTGGGAAGTTGGGCTTGCATGCACATCATCCAAGGAACTGTTTGTTTTATCTTAGGGATAAAGAACCACATGAACTAGAAAAATTACTAAAGGTACGTCTTTTCTTGTGACTTATCTTCATCGTCGTCATTATGAACACAGTAATCGTCATTTTCTTCTGCTTTCCTTCTAGTTATTTTCTCTGTAAAAAGTAACTTTTACATATTATTTCATCATTGCTCATAGTTTTGGTGCTTTTTAGGATAACAAAGTTGAATATAGACTGGATGTGAACCAAGGTGCTGAAGATAATGCTTCTGCTGTGATGAAATGCCTAATACCTCTACAAAAAGAAACACCGACCGGTTTGTTAGATACTGTATGTAATAATGAAGTGACTCCAGGACAATCAGGTCTTTGCAGGTGAGTTGAGAAGTTATAAGTGAAATGTATATTAACTTTTGTTATATTATCTTTTAAATGAGGCAATTATTTGCAAAACTCGCTAACAGACAAAAGTTTCGAAAATGATTTTTTTTAATAAATTTATGTTTACCTGCAAAACTCGCTGTTTGCTCTACCACCAATGAAATTTGTCGGTTGGTTCATGTAACTAACACGATACTACAACAACTATATTGAAGAAACAAATTTTCAGTATTTTATAATTATTCAAGTGATTAAACAGTTAAATTCCTTATGGTTTTTATTGAACTAAATACGGTTTGTTATAATTTTGTATATTTATTTGCAAAACTGGTTGTTTGTAATAAACATTATTTTTTTCTAAAAATCTGTAAATATTTTAGGCTATAAACTTTTAATTTCTATTGCTAAAAACTCTAAGCAACATTAATAAAATTCTCTACGTTATGAGCTAAACACTAGTCGGCCGTTCCCAAAAAATGAGCAAAGAGCAAGTTTTGCAAATAATGGCCTTAAATTACGTTTTATATTATTATCTTGTAAAACACCGTTAGAAGGAGCCAATATGAAGAAGATTTTTTACCTAATTTTCGTAAATTATTGACTCATATAAATATAAAAATCCAAATAATAATTTTAGGAACCATTATCTTGAATATTTGTGTCTTTTGATTCGCAAGTACAATCTTGAAACAATAGACATGTTGACAGCAGATGATTTGGAGACTGTAGTAAGAAGAGCTTCTAAAAAGTTGCCCCCTAATGCATTTGGAACCCCTCGCGAAATGTATAGATCTCGTTTAAAACAGGTACACAAAAACGTTGAGCCTCTTTCCAAAAGACATTATTTTAAGATATAATAGGTTTCAAAAGATACATCTGCGATTACTGCATGGTTCAGGTGAAAACTTTGTTTAATAATAATAGATGGATAGATTTAGAGAGGTGGCCTTTTCGCCAATTGCAGTGTGAGCTTTTCAGTCATGGGTCCTCTAGTCCTAGATAACATTCTTTAGCATGACCTTTTTTAAAAAGTCTAATAGCTTCGAGACTGCACCTTCCACGTAGCTATTGCCGGTTCATTTTTTTCTCCTAATGCAAAGAACCGCACATTTGTCAGACTGTCACACTGACATAGAATGTGCTCTACTTTTTCTTCTTCGAGGTGACAGAATCTGCACAGGTCATCATCTGATGATCCTAACAACTTCAAGTGCCTATTCAGCTTATAGTGCCCTGTTAGAAGACCTACTATGGCTTCTTTCGACTGTTTTTCTGTCTTTGCTTATTAGGTCTACCGTAAATTTCGGCGATTGTTGTTCGTTACCTACGCCGTTCTTATTACTGTCTTTACAACGCCGCAGATGCGTTTCGGTCCCATAAATGGCATTGATGAGCCTTGTGTGGTCATTTTATCTGCTTTTTGCTTTTATATCTCTTGTGCCTCGATACCCAGGTTACCGTAGTTTATTTAGGGCACACACACACAATCCCATACTAGCTTAGAGTTGGCCTCTATAGAATTGAGTGCCTTAAGTGCTTCCTGACTAGCTGTGAAGATGGTAACTGAACGTTCTTTCCTGCTTTTCTATTTCTTCCACGCAGTGATGGATTACCGTTATTTCCGCCTGGAAAACTATCACATCCTTAGATATACTTACTGGGTAATGTATCCCTTGATTTGTCCCTACTATGCAAACTTCCATACTCTCACATGTTTTTGATCCATGTGTGTACCAGATAGCAGCAGCTTGTATGGGTACACCTTCATTCCAGTCTTCCCTGCCTGGTATCTTAATTGTGAACTTATTGTTAAAGCTATATCTCGTAGCTGTTGCATCGATAGGTTGTCTCATCACAATATCGGCTTTTAGCTATTTTTCTCTATTAGCTTTCTGTTGTCAGCACCATGCATCTGGCTTATATGACGCTGACTAAGTGGTGGTAGATTTGGCAGAACTTCCAACGCTACTGTAGGAGTTGTTAGTTGTTTTTATGGCCTCCGTAATACACAGGTATGCTAGCCTTTGTGTATTAACTAGAAGCCTTTTTGCTCCGACTTGCTGCGTCTTTGTCCACCACGTCACCGAGCCATAGGTTATTATTGGTCTAATAATCCTTGTGTATAACCATAGAGTCATTTTGGGGCTAAGTCCCCAATTCTTACCACAGGGACATAGTAACGCTTTCTGTGCGGTTTTCAGAATGTGAGTATTACATGTAAGCCTATGATCAAAGTACAGCCCAAGGTATTTTGTTTCTTTGGCAAATGAAATCTCTGTTCCTCCCAGCATTGGTGGTTTTAGGCCTTGTAGTGCTATTTTTTTGGTGAAGTTGACGATTTGTGTTTTCTGAGCATTGACTATCTGTCTCTCTTGTTAACACCAGTCGTCAACTATATTTAGGGCTGCTTGCATTGCCTCTATACCACCAGGGCAAACCTGCCCCTGACAACGATTGCTATATACCATCAGCATATCCTAGACAGTAAAAGCCTTTTGTGGACAGATTTCTGAGAAGATCATCTACCAAGGTTGCCCAAAGTAGAGGGGACAAAACTTCTCCTTGTGGACAGTCTCCACCTACTTTTGCTTTAATGGTTGCTTTCCCAAAGTTTATATTACTGTCCCTATCCTCCAGGGATGTCCTTATCCATCTGCATATTACCATCGTCTGCTTATAGCGCCTTATAGCGCTGGTAGTAAAATTATTAAATGCCCCTTCTATATCTAAAAAAGGGGCCATTGCTATCTCTAGAGGATTATCTTTTAGCCCTTCGTCTCTGATGTACATATCAAGAAGCCTTTCCAGCGTTTTTAATAGAACAGAAGATAGGCGCTTATCGGTCTATATGACTTTGGTGTTAGGTCCGATACTTTAACTACCTTAGGTAAGTATATGACTTTAACCTTGCCATATTTCCGGTACGACCCCCCATGCTAAACTGGCTTTGAGGAGCTTGCATAGATGTGGTATCAATATCTCTAATCCCATGTACAACAGTATTGGATATATGCCGTCTGTCCCTGGAGACTTATATGACCGAAACTTATTTATAACTCATCTAATTCTGTTTGGTTTTGTGATTGCTGTGGCTATTTCCCAATCTGTAGACCTTGGCCTAGTCAGTCTTTGCTCTATGTTGGTTTGCTTATCTAAAACTTTCCTCTTTGGTGTCCGTAAATTTGCCATTACCTTTCTGGCAAATAATACATGAAACTAAATCGCTAAATGAAGCACTATTGCCAAATACTGGTTAATTGAAAATGTTTCGATAAACTATGTAACAATACACGACCAAACACTTTTTCTTAACGCTGTCATCCTGATTCATATTTTGACTCTTGTTGCATTTGTTTGAAGAATTTAATTATTTGTATTTTAAGAAGAGTTTCCGAAGTAGAAATGTAAACGCCAAAATAAAAGTATTTTTATTTAAAATTGTGGTTGAAAGCCCATGAAATTTAGTAGATAACATAAAAATTCCACGAGAAAATAGTGTCAAAAACCATGTTTTTTAACTTCGACTTTATTACACATATTTCTTGCCTTCTTATAACTTGTTTTTTATTTATGGCCCCATGATATCGTTGATCTGAAGCTTGACATTTTACATATGATAACAAGTTATCTTTAAAGGATTTTTGTATTTTCTATTCTCAAAAAGTGCTTATATTATCTTACTCCTTGCGATTTTATTACCCTTGTTGCGATTGTTCTTTTAGTTGTACTTTCTTCATTGTTGAGAGAGTTTGTATATTAAGCAAATAAAATATTACCGTTGACTTCTCAGCTTAAAACAATAAAATTATATTACTTTGAAAGAAAAATTAGACCTATTTGTTTAATTAAAACAAATAGCTTCATTATTTATTGATTTCCCTTTTGAAAACAGGCCAACATTCCAAACCACTTCCTTACCGAACTAACCCCTTTGTTTTGTGTGTGCGTAGGCTGCATTACATCGAGTATTTAGTCGGGCTCATTGGCAGACACCAGCTGGATCCCATACCTATCCTGGACCTAGTTGAGGTCAGCCAGGAGTTGCGCAGAAGAGGTAGAGACTTACCGGAACGTTCCGCTTGGTGTGACGACCAGGAGTACAAGAATATCTGTGCGAAGGTGAGTCCCATGGGACCCAAGTTGTTGGAGGCGTAAGAATTTTCCCGAAATTCCCGAAATGTACTAGAAAGTATGTGGAAGTTTCCTCTAGCTTATTTTATTATCTTAAAATGTATAATATAAAATGTGTCATGGTTAGCTTTGATTGAGTTATCTATCTTTATGTTAGTTAAAAGTTAATATTACCATTGTTTTGAATCAGTAAATAATTATTAGGATGCAGGTAATAAAAAGTGTATTTTGGAAAAGATCAGATGGGAGAAGGTCTGTAGGACGGCCTAGAAAAAGGCGAAAAGATGCAGTCAGAGAGCATCTGGAGAAAATTGGAGTGGGACGATGGTAAATAGTGGCACAGAATCGACAAACATGGAAGGCACTAGTAAACGTGGCAAAGACTCGCGAAGAGTTGTAATGCCATTAATGACGATGTTGAAATAGTAAAAAAGATATGCGGGTGAATAGTTATACAAAAATAACGTTGAATAGGTGCTGGAACAGTTAACAAAAGTGAATATGCTTATGGAAAATTGTAATATCACGAAAAAAGACATATTTCTGGAATATTTGGCTATCAATGCTTCTGCCGTTGGGCTGTAGAAATTCGCGAATGGTTTGCATGTTGTTTTTATTAAGTTGGCAAGATCGGTTGAAAGATAACGTGTAATTTGTGTTGCATACAAAATTATTCTTCAGTATTCGTGCCTAGTGAACAAGTAAAATAAGAAAATCTAGAAAGATCTAGAAAAATTTGAAGAAAATGTATGTTTTTGTAAATATTATTGGACGAAAGATTTAAAATTAAACTACATTAAATAATGGTGAAGCTTGTTTTCAAGTGAACAATATTCATTTGTAGATTCTAAACAGAGATAAATAGAATAACAGAAATTAAAGTTTTTGTTATCCAAATTATGATCTAGAATGGAATTTCAATGTATAATGCAACTAAACTGTAAAATATATTTGTTGTGTTAAACAGTACAAGGTACTATTCACTGGTTATCCATATCCCATCAATTTACTAATCAGCACCTTCTTCTGATTTGGAATACACTGAAGACAGATATGATTTAGTAATAATTGTTGGTGAAAACTTAATTATGGACATTATTTGTTAAATTAGAAAATATTTAACTTTAATAGTCCAGTGGCCAGAGACGAAAATGCCACTGAAGCTCCAAAAATTGAATTGAATCTGAAAATGTCAATTTTTGAGGCCCGAAGAAAGATGCAAGAAAGTTCTTTTATACCTGGGCTTCTCACTAAAACTTACCCTCATAGGAAGGGAAAAAAATTGTCGCCGTAGAAAAAAATGTTTCAAACTAAAAACGTCGGTGAGATAGTTTTGAAAATAATGTTTATTAGCAATATTTCTGTAGAATAAACCGTTCTCTCAGAAACAACGCTTGAAGCGACCGGCGATAAAGTAATGAAACTAATAATGGAAATTGCATAGAGACCGTTCAATGTGTGTGAGAAATTCAATTGATTTTGTGAATAGCTGTGATAGTGATCATGTACCAGTTGTAGGTAATTTCAAAGTCAGAATGAATAAGTTTACAAGTAACTCGATAAAGAAGTATGATGTTAGAAATCTTCTTCTTCTTTGAGTGCCTCTCCTATCGAAGACTAAATATCATATTGGCGATTCTAATTTTATTTACTGCTATTTTGAATAATTCGTTAGTGGTACAGCCAAACCACTCTCTTAAATTTCTCATCCAGGACATTCTTCTAC